AGCGTCGCCCTGTCCCAAAAAAATCTCCTATCTTCATTGGCTCCCAGACATACCCGGCCTTCTCAAGGACGGTTATCTTTCTACTCTCCTGGATGTTTCTGCAGACAAGACGCTCCGAACCCCCACCCCCTCCCCCTCTCTCTGGGACACTTACCCTTACCCCTGATTCAACGCCTTCTTTGGCCCCTTACAGCCTCCCTCCCTCCCCTGTTGCGACGCGGTCGGTGAAGGTCGAGGGCAGCGCAGGTCCTGCAGCAGCCCTCCCAGACTCGATCGTGCTGTAACCCCCCGCCCCCATTCTCCCGCCCCACTCCCACATGTGCAGATGTTCTCGTGCTGTTATAATGTCTTTGATTGTGCTTTGTGCTGTCAGGTGCGTGGGAGAGAATGTCCCATCTTCAGCAAGAATGGGACATCTTGCTGAGGTGGGAGGTCTGCTGTTGGCCTCCTGTCTGCATGCCTCCGCTACCTCAGCCAGCTTCCTCAATACCAGGTCATGGCGCCACCTGTAGCAGCCTTGGGACAAAGCAGGATGTGCTGGAGGCTTGCATTGCTGGTACTGCACAGGGCACAGGACTCTTCCGCACCAAACCACAGGTGGAGATTTCTGGGACAAGGCAGGGTGTTGTAGGAAAACCTGATCAGGAAGCTGTGTCTGGCCTGGGGGATCTTCCACAGATCCGACCATGACAGGGGCCTGTCTGTGATGACTTCCCAAGACAACCAGCCTCCCTGTCGGCTTTGAGACACTGCCTTGATGTTAAGGCGTTCCAGCTCGGTCCTTGTCACTTCTGCCACCACCATGGCTTTCCGCTCTTCTTTAGAGGCCTGCCCTAAAGAAGTGCCCACTACCTCACGATGTTTCAGCCTGCCGATCGCCCTGTCCACCTCCTCCTGGGCTTTCCACTTTCTCCCTGTTCGTACCTTGGGGCCAGCTGCTCTCACCAGTTGATCAGTGGAATCCCTCAGCTCCAGCACCATCCGGGCCTTCTCCTGTTTGTAACCTAGGCCAATGGATCGTAGCGGCAGCTGCAGTGTGTTTTTGCCAAAGAGACCTACGTCTGAGAGGCGAGTTTGCCAGCCTGTCCATCCTGTCCACCGCCGACGAGGGGACTTCACTCATCTTCAGAGGCCACATCACCCTTGGGTACAGTATGAACTGATAACTCCACACCTTGTACTTGCCGGGGAGCTGACTCTGATTGATCCTGGCCAGGTCATCTGCTAGTTGTTTCCTTACTGTCTCCCCCATCTTCTTGTCGGAGAGATCTGCCATGTAGGTACAACCAAGGCTGTGGATGGGTTGGCTTGCCAGAAATGGAATCTCTTCACCACCTACGACAAATGTGGTATTGTCGCTTCTGACCCCTTTCCTGGCCCTTCTAGGTTGTAGTTTTCAGAGGTAACATTTTACTCCAGGCTGTCATGGAGGACAATGCACAGCTGTGTGCTGTGTCTATTTAGTATAAACATTTTACTTTATTTGCACAAAATACCAAATCACACCCCGCCCCCACTGTTGAAGTTATATATGTAAATTTTCTTACTTTCTTTCCTGTCTTTAGAGCAATTTCCCCGAGGAAGTTCCATAACATCAAATATATTTGGCAACATGTACAGTATATTGTGGTATGAAATATATGTATATATTCATCACATTTGCATTCAGTGTGTGTCTGAGTCTCAATTTGTTCATCCCTTGTATATGGACATTCATTTCATTCTAATCCCATTGTTGTTTTTGTTTCTCTTTACAGACGGGACGCATTGACAAATCCTACCCCACAGTGTGTGGTCACACAGGCCCAGTGTTGGACATTGACTGGTGCCCCCACAATGATCATGTTGTTGCCAGTGGCTCTGAGGACTGCACAGTGATGGTAAGGTGTTTTTCCCCCCTCTGTGCGTCGAAACACACAATTGTTGGTTGGTGGACAAAGGTCATCATAAAATCTCCACCATAAATTCTCTATCAGAAATGGCTCTATGCTTTTATTGTGAAAAACCAGGCTGTTGTAACAAAGAGATGGGCGCAGACCTCACCCTCTGGATTAGATTAGGCTCAAATATGTGTGTAGGAATCAGAGCAGGGGAATGATTTAACCGTTTATTGAGCTGAGGTCACTGACTTTTTTGAGACTGCATTTGTACTTCCCTACGTATGTCCTTATTTGGTCTTTGAAAAGCAGAGTTCAGGCAGTGGCCCGTTTGGTTGCCCACTTTTTTGAATTTGTTGCCATTTGTTGTGATTATAATCTAACTGATCATTTTTAATTAAACCATTATATCCCACCTGTCACTAAAGTTGCTGTGTTGGCTGTTCTCATTGCTAAGAGGAGAGATTAAAACAGCTTTTCTTGTTATCTTTAATTTAAAGATAATTGAGGCACACAAGATTTAGCTGTGAACTGGTGGAATACTACTCCAGGTGCTATTTCTATCTAAGCATAAAGGAGTGGAATACATCTGTTGTTAGGTTCCCAGGTACGGGGCTCACCCGCAGACTCACTCGAGTGCGGCTGACCCATAGCTGATTAGCCCTCTGTGCGACGGGTAAGGACCGACGCCCCCGAAGACTAGGTGCAACTTCTTGGCACTTCACACTGTGGTCCCCCGGGACCTTCCCGAGATTCTTTTGCTTGTCTTTCTTTCCACAGTTTCACTTGTAAATCATACTTCTTCACTTCACTCTCTATTATTGTTATTGTCGCATCAACTGCAGTGAGAGGGAACCTATTTTCTCCTTGGGAGCCTCGAGTAATTTGTCGTAAATCAACACTTGTGCTAGAGGCTCACCTTTCTTCAGGTTTCTTCTTGCACTATGAATTCCTCATCTTCGTCAAGTGGCTCTACTGTCAGGCGGCAGTAAAGTTCTTGGGCTACCCCAGCTTTGACTGAATGGCCGGTTACTTGTGAAAAGCCATAGGGCTAATACTTCTTCATTACCGTCAACCAAGTTTTTTACTTGATGCCAGACTTCTAACAGATAAACTTCTGTTGATTGATGAGGCTTTCTAGCGTTTACTGTAGTCAAGATAATGGCCATACATTTATATACAGCTTCGTTCATTATTCCGCCTCCTACTTGCGGTACACTCTGGGCCCCAGGAGTCCTGCTGTCCTGTGGTGGTTTCTCAGGTATTCCTTGTGGTTCGTCATCTTCCAGGTCAGATCCAGGGGGAACTTCATCAGCCAAGCATTCTTACATTCTTTACTGCAGCTTTCTTTATTTTATATCTTAGACCATCATATGCTAGACAAAAATAGCCATTTTTCACATTATTGGTTAAGTCTTTGGCCTTCATCATGAAAGCTAGGGAAGGCATCGTGACTATATTGGCACACTCACCTAGTGTAGCCGAGACCATTAATACTATCTTTTCTTCTTGATGACTCCTCCATCTTAAGGGAATTCCATAATCTGTCTGTCTGACCTCTGGGATATGGAACTGTTGTCCATCTGGAATGGTTATAGGACCATATGTGATATTTCGTGCCACTCTTTCAGTTGCCCTGGCTATATCATGTTGTGGCGTGTCTTTTTTCTCACTTTTCCTCCTATAAACTCCTGTTCTCAATGGTTGAAAGTCGGGGTGTTCTGTAGTCACTGAATACAATGATTGTGAGTGATTTTCATCACCATCTCCGTCTTTATCATCACCATTGTCCTGCTGTTCCTCTTCTGACTCACTTTGTTCCGCTGATTCAGGGGCTGAGGCCAATGGATGTTGTCTTGACAGATATCTTCCTACTAAAGTAGTTTTACTTGATCCTGGTCTCCTAGGTGGAACCCACAGAGGCTGCCTCTGATATTCTCCGACCTTTCGTCCTCCTGGCTTTCTTATTGTCAGGATTTGAGGGTTATGTGGAGTTGTTCTGGCTCTTCTTTGCTGGTCTAGTACATATGGATCTGTTGGTCCCTCAGGGAATGCTCTAGAACCTGAATCAGAATATTCCCGGTTTGTCGATGTCCCTAGTCTCACTGGTTCCATAGGAATAAATGGTGGTTGTGGCCGATAGGGCTGTGATGGCAGTATAGGATTGGAAGGCTGTGGTGGTTGCACAGGAAAAGATGGTTGAGGTGGCAGTTGTGTAGTAACATTTTCTGGAACTGATGGCTTCTGTGATTTCTTTGATTTAGCTGATATTTTTGTTTCTGCTGGGATGAATGGTGATGGCACCAAACCTTTTGGCTAATTTTAGATTCTCTGTCCCTTCTGTGTTCAGCCTCCCAGCTTTTTCCAGCTAGAGCATGTACACGATGTCTTAATTTTTTTGTTATGGATCTTCCACATTGTGTTTGTAAAAGCTATCAGAGCATCTGTTTCAATATCATTTAAATCTCCCTTTAAATGATATACTCCTCTATGTTTATTTACTTTCTTTCTTGGCCTCAGGTAAATATGATTTGATTAATATAAAATAGTAGATTAATAAAATATAAATGTGCTGAGGCATTATCAGTATAATTTGTTCTGACCCTACTGCCTTGTGGTGGTGTTGAAGAAGAAGAGAAGTCACATCCCTTGGCCTTCGGTGTGTTGAGTCTTCACTGCTCCTGAAGAGCCAACGCCCTAAGCTGCCCAGTACAGGGCTGCTTCCCCTGGGTGACGCACTCTTCTTGTCCGGTCACAGGACACAGAATATAAATGAATTTATTTCAAGGAAATCACACACGCATTTATGTTTCATTAGTTCATATAAATCACTGTGTACTTCCCCAACCCCTGACCTCCTTTAAACTTCCTGGATTAGAGACATGCCTCAATGTGTTTTTATAACACGTGTTAAATATGGAACAATTATAATTACTCTTTGCCTGCTATAATACACTCAGTTTATGACCTCTGGATACTGACCTCAGCCATTCTTGCCACTGTTCTTGGTTAGTGTAAATACTTAGTGTGTCTATTATGGACTAATTTAAAACTATGATAATTCAAAATGCCATACTCACTTGCAAAATACATGGTATTTTATAGTATAAAGGGATTGTTTGAAAGCTTAATCTTCAGGAGAATCAAACCTGAAATATTTTTGTCATTTACAGGAGCCTTTGAACATGATATACATGCGTGTGTGTTGCACACCCTCACAGCAGCTTAGAATTGGTCAGTCACTCAGGCAAAGAAAGTGGACCATTCAAAATATGTCTTGATTCTCACATGAAAAAGTTTGTTGCATTAACACATTCCTCAAATGACAGAAGGGACATTTGCCTTATTTCTTGGTAGAATACAGATTTTCTGATTTATGTTTGAAAATCCTCCACTTTGTACTTTATGGCTGACATCTGTCCTCTTGACGTCCTCTGAAGGTATGGCAGATTCCTGAGAATGGCCTTGTCATGGCCATGTCCAAGCCAGTGGTTGTACTGGAAGGCCACTCCAAGCGTGTGGGCATCATTACATGGCATCCAACAGCACACAATGTCCTCCTAAGTGCAGGTATCAGCTGCCTCCTTTAGTCTGTACTTCAGCTCCCTTCAGTGTTAGCCTTGCTGTAATTTTACACTGATTATAAACATCAGCATGGCATTAGCTGCTGTCTATTAACATGATTCCACTTTGTTTCCAGGTTGTGACAACCAGATCATTATCTGGAACGTGGGCACAGGTGAGTCCATGATCACTTTGGACGACATGCACCAAGATGTCATTTACAACGTGTCCTGGAACCGCAACGGCAGCCTTATCTGCACCTCCTGCAAGGACAAGGCCATCCGTGTCATCGACCCCCGGCGGGAGGAGATTATTGCTGTAAGCAGTTTTTCTTTTCATCTAAAATTTAGCTTTTTCCTTCAAAAAAAGGAAGATAGCGCTAGAACAAATATGCTGAAATCTCAATGTACTTCACACAGGTGGTAAAATAAAAAGATATTAAGTGTATAATAACAGCAATGGGGAACAGTGGGTACATGTGAGTAATGCTGAATATTGTCCACAGGAGAAGGAAAAGGCACATGAGGGCGCCCGACCCATGCGAGCCATTTTTCTGTCTGATGGCAACATCCTCACCACAGGTTTTAGCCGCATGAGTGAGAGACAGTTAGCTCTCTGGAACACGGTAAGCTGTGCTTTCCACATTTTGTCTTTAGCGTGTCAGACTTAAGAATCCACTTAATGTTCAGAATTAGTTATTTTTGAACATCAACAGCAGGGTTGTCCTTCATAGGTAATGCAATGTACTAATTTTCCCAGTGCGGGATCAATAAGGTTCAACCTTAACCTTAACATGACCAGAAAGTCCTAGTATACAAGCCTAAGGGAAATACTGCCTTTCAGATGGAATAAACACACACTACAGATTTACAGAGGAGCAACAGCAACAGCTGTACTTAATGTGAATGTGTGTAACAACACTGATAGTTTTCACGCATGTAAATATTAACCAAAAACTCAACTCAATAACTCTACATCAGCATAAAGTTTTGTTTTGTTTAAGTCAATATTATTTCATTAACCTTTACTTGCCCACATGCAGTCACTGTTTCTTCAATGAAACAATAATTTATAAATTAGTATTTTGTCTCTCAAGCAAAACATGGAGGAGCCAATCGCTGTCAATGAGATGGACAGCAGCAACGGCGTGCTGCTGCCATTCTATGATCCAGACACCAATGTGGTTTACCTCTGTGGGAAAGTATGTTTCTCTTTTTATCACTAAATTAAAGTAAAATATTTATTAACATGAATATTTATGTCCAGCTTTCATACAAAAAATTCTGATTTATTAGATGAATATAAGACACCATTTTCTTGCAGGGTGACAGCAGCATTCGTTACTTTGAAATCACAGATGAGCAACCTTATGTCCACTTCCTCAACACCTTTGTGACCAAGGAGCCACAGAGAGGCATGGGCTACATGCCCAAGAGGGGCCTTGATGTCAATAAGTGTGAAATTGCAAGGTAACTTCCGAGAGACCACCTGCAGTCGCTCACAGAAAATGTGGGCTCTGGCACATTAAGTGTGTATCTTCTGTCATACCACTAGAGGGCAGAGAATAACAACTAATTTAATTGTTTGTAGTTGAGCGTTTAACTTTTTTGTGAAATTGTTTAATTTTGTGCTTCCAGGTTTTACAAACTGCATGAAAGGAAGTGTGAGCCCATTGTGATGACCGTGCCGAGGAAGGTGAGTCATTACCTCATTATGTAGTCACACATTTTAGTAATGTGCAGGTTTCCTCATCCTGACGCTCTTGTCCTTGCTCTGCAGTCGGATCTGTTCCAGGATGACTTGTACCCAGATACAGCTGGACCTGAAGCTGCCCTGGAGGCAGAGGAGTGGTTTGAGGGTAAGAATGGCGACCCCATACCCATCTCTCTGAAGAACGGCTATGTTCCAGTCAAGAACCGTGAGTTCAAGGTGGTCAAAAAGAACATACTGGACAGCAAGATGACCAAGAACACAGAAAACTCAAGCCCTGCCATCAAGTCTGCCACCCCCACTCCTTCAATTGTAAGTGTTACCTTCATAAACATATTGTACCTTCATAAACATATTGTAGGAGATTCCTTAGTTAGTAGGTGAATATTTTATATGATGTGTGAGAGAGACGCCCTTAAAAGACTCAATGTTTACAGTAAATCAAATAATAAAAAGATTGTCTTTGCATAAGAAAAGGGCAAAAGCTAAATGTTGATATTCCTTTAGGTGGTATTTGGCTGGAGTTGAGATAAAATAAAAGGAAACAGAGAGCAATTGTTTATAATGGAAGCTCAGAGGTCTGTTCCCTGGCTTTCTTAAATATGAGGGGGTCTGTTCTGCTGGGTGTCTTGCCACAATTCACCCACAACACAGCTGCCTGCTTCAGCCTAGCCCATGTGTCCCTCTGCACTTCTGCTCTATAATCACAGCCCATTTGGCGCTGTCTCCGTGGAAACATGTTAACCCTCAGAACAGTCCACAAACAGTGGAGTGTTTTACACAGAGTATTGTTGAGACATACTTTTGGTTTTGAAATAGTTTCAGAAGTCACCAGTGTTGCGTGCCTGTGTCAGAGTTGTTGCAGCAGTGCTGTCATATAAAAATATTCGTGCACACACAGTCGATCTTTCAGTTGTTTTCTGGTGTCTTCCACAGCAATCAGAGGGAAAGCTGGAGGAGATCTTGAAAGAGATAAAATCCCTCAAAGACCTGGTCAGCAGTCAGGAGAAGCGAATCATCCAACTTGAAGAGCAAATGTCCAAAATTGCCATATAAAAACCGGTCCCCTCCTACAGTATGTCACAAAAGTGAGTACACCCCTCACATTTCTGCAGAGATTTCATTATAATGTTTAATAGAACAACACTGAAGAAACATCGCGTTGACACAATGAAAAGTAGTCTGTGTAAAGCTTATATAGCAGTGTAAGTTTATTTTTCCCGTCAAAAAAAAACTCAAAACAGCCATTAATAGCTAAACCCCTGGCAACAAAAGTGAGTACACCCCAACGACACTACACCCCTAAATGTCCAAACAAAGCACTGCTTGTCATTTTCCCTCCAAAATACCATGTGACTCGTTACTCTTACTAGGTCTCAGGTGTGAATCTAAGAAAGATAGGCGCAGGAGTGCTGTCAGCATTGCTGCAGAGATTGAAGAGGTGGGGGGTCAGTCTGTAAGTACTCAGACCATACGCCGCACACTTCATCAAATTGGTCTGTATGGCTGTCACCCCAGAAAGAAGCCTCTTCTGAAGGCTGTCCACAAGAAAGCCCGCCAAAAGTTTGCTGAGGATATGTCAACAAAGGCCATGGCTTACTGGAAAAATATCCTCTGGTCTGATGAGACAAAGATTAATTTATTTGGCTCAGATGGTGTGAAGCATATGTCCAGGTGAGGAGTACAAAGATGTTTGTGTCGTGCCTACAGTCAAGCATGGTGGTGGGAATGTCATGGTTTGGGGCTGCATGAGTGCAGCTGGAGTTGGGGAGTTGCATTTCATTGAGGGAAACATGAACTCAAGCATGTACTGTGAAATACTGGAGCAGAGAATGATCCCCTCCCTCCGGAAACTGGGTCGCAGGGCAGTGTTCCAGCATGACAATGACCCCAAACACACCTCTAAGATGACCACGGCTTTTCTAAAGGGGCTAAGGGTAAAGGTGATGGACTGGCCAAGCATGTCTCCAGATCTAAACCCAATAGAACATCTTTGGGGCATCCTCAAGCGGAAGTTGGAGAAGCACAAGATCTCGAATATCCCCCAGCTCCGTCATGTTGTCATGGAGGAGTGGAAGAGCATTCCAGTGGCAACCTGTGAGGCTCTGGTGAAATCCATGCCCAGGAGGATTAAGGCGGTTCTGCAAAATCATGGTGGCCACACAAATATTGACACTTCAGGAACTTTCACTTTAGGGTGTACTCACTTTTGTTACCAGGGGTTTAGCTACTAATCACTATATTTTGAGTTTTTTTGAGGGGAAAAATACATTTACACTGCTATATAAGCTTTACACAGACTACTTTTCATTGTGTCAAAGCGATGTTTCTTCAGTGTTGTTCAATTAAACATTATAATGACATCTCTGCAGAAATGTGAGGGGTGTACTCACTTTTGTGACATACTGTAAATCCTGCTACAATTCAGGACATTCTATAGGCTGGGTGTTGGGCAGGACTGGTCACTGCCATTTGCATTGAGAGTGTTCATCTTAATGTCCTGCCCAGCAACGATTCCCAGCAACATTCCAGATGAACATTTTTTTCCTCTTGCCATTCTCTGACTCTCAGTTTAACACAGGTGAAATAAAAAGGAGTTGTGACAAAATTCCCAGAAAATATTTTGTTTTTTGGTGACAATGGACCTTTTTTTTAGTTTATTTGTATAAAGGTCTTACATTTTTGTGTTTGTGTAACAGCAATGACCACTTCAACTCCTGTGTCAACTCTTCACTTTTTGTGTACACCTCCTCTCCCATATTTGCTTTCTCTCTCTCACAAGTCATAATTCCAACAGGAATCCCAAACAGTATCTAGTCTATAAAGTTGACTTATCCGTTAGCGGGACGCGGGGGCAGGAGTCTCCACAACCGCCACCCAAATCACACTGCACTGTACCAGCCCCCCGAACCTTCCTGCGGGTGGTGAGTCCACTGGAAGGTACCAACCGCCCTAACCGGGATTCAATTTTGCCCAGGAGGTGAACCCTGGGGTTCCACACCAATAACAGAGACATTGCCTCTGGGCCAAAGTGCCACCACGTCGTCAAATTTGATTATTTTTGTCTCAGGAATTGATTTATTTTGTGACCAAATAATCACATGTTGGCAGCGTAAGTCGATCCTGTCATTATCCAGTAAAAATAATAATGTAGGTGCAATGGGCCGAGTGCTGCTTAGGAGCACTCGGTGTTATCAACCAGTCTCAAATTAATAACACAACCAGTCTCATTAAAGTTATCTTTAATTATTATTTTAACCTACTAATATAGCAATAATGTATTACAAATATACTAAAATCAATAGTATCCAATAACAATTAAATATCTGAAGGATTTTGAGAGTTCTTGGCAAATTGGGTGGCTTCAATGAATAAAGTAACAACACAGACAAACACAGTTTACAAAAATAATCAAATTTATTTATACAACATTTACAACATTTATACAACACAGTTAATGACGGTGATTGAACTCATAA